GTCACTGGGAACAGCATCTCTGCAAGTCCCAACTGACCCTCAGTAGCCCTCTGAAGGGAAGTCCTCCCTGCCACCTGCCACACCCTCTCTCCTGACTGCTCTCACTGGACTCTTTAGTCAGTTTCTCACTGAGTCACTTGTTCGCAAGGCCACCAATGGGATGGGCAAAGGGAACGCTGATCAAATGCCTGCCTAGGTACCAGGCCTCAATGAGTACCCCCTCTCCCTTCACCTCATTAAACCTCAACACTGTTATTATCAACTCCATTTTACAGGTAAGAAAACAGGTGCAAAGTTAAACAACTGGTCCCAGGGCAGCTTGCATGGCCTCCCTGACCTGGGGGTGGCCAACTGTGCCAGGCACACTGCCAGGCACTTGGGGGACTAGGTGGCTGGCAAGGATGGCAAATCCATGCAGACCACAGGCAGTGAGCAGAGGGGTGGCGTCCACCTGCTAGAAAGGAGTTCTGGGGCCTTCTCGGAGGAGGCAGCCTCAGGCCTGGAGGATCTCGCTGCTCTTGCCGGCCACCACAACAGGAGAAAGGGCAGCTGTGGCCCACAAAGCTCTGGTGCCCAGGGTATGCTCGCTCTGCCCTGGAGGCGGCAGAGGGAGGAGAAGCCAGCTGCCCTGCCAATGACCCCACTGCAGCCAGGCCAGCCTGCCCCCAGTCCTGCCAACCTGGCCTGGCCCAGCCAGCTCCCAATCACAGCTAATGACCATGCTGCCTGCAGCCTAGGACACCACCCTCTTTTGGGTGACCACAGTTCCTTCTGGCCCAGACAGCAGCCAGGCCAAAAATCACAGCTGCTTGTCACACCACATCCTCTACCCTGTGCTGTGGTCTCCTCCTCCTTCTGCCAGGATCACAGAGGACACTGCAGAAATCTAGAGAGGTAAGGCCCTTGGATACCGCCAGCTCACCATACATGTGGGCAAAGAGAACCGCACGGAGGGGCTGAGTCACCGCAGGTCACACAGCCAGCTGCTGCAGAGCCCAGGCCAAAGGTTCCTTCCTGGGCCCCACGCTCAGTCTCACACTGCCCTTCCTTAGCCTTGGAAGAAGGCTCGGGTTCTTCACATGCAAAGAATGCTTTCGAGGTACTGAATGGAGTTGAGGAGACAGGACATCTAAAAGCTGGCTGTTCAGTGACAGAAGCACGGATTTCTAATTCAAACAGTTGCAGCCCTGACTCCCTACTTCCTGTCAAGCTGTGTGACCTTGGGTAAGAAAATGTACGTCTCTGAGGCTCAGATTCTGGGGCATAACAGTAGCTACCTCCAGCATTAGTGTGAATGAGAGTGTCCATAAAGTCTTAGCACATTGTCTGGTTTATAATAATTATTCAATATTAGCTATTGTTAATATCATCACCATAGTATTATTAAATGTGCTGATCCATTTTATAAACTGTCAAATGCCATGGATGGTAGGTATTATGTATTTCTGTGAAGTGCTAAAATTCAGAGGGGTGTACCCACAGGGTTGGACAATCTAGGAATGTTTCTAGGGGAATTTATGACCCAAGTTGGACCTGGACAGATGGGGACATAAGTGAAGAAGAGGCAGAGCTGGTGGTTCTGATGGGAGGCACCCCACAAGCAAAGAGGCAGCAATGGGGGCACAGGTGGTGCATGCAGGAGACACTGGTGAGCAATGAGCCCCAGATCCATGCAGTGGTTCCCATGGGCAAGGACTTGAATGCCACAACTGGAAGCCTGGTCTTCACCTTACAAAGGAAGCACAGGGAGCCCAGAGGGGTTCTAACACTCCAGGGCCCCTCCCAGCTGATCATTCGCCCCTTGCTTTGCCCCTCGCTATCCCCACAAACCCAGCATCACTACCCCGGGTTCTCCCCACCTCTCTGCCTGCCATCCCATCCCATCTCTTTTATTACAGGCCTGCCCCATGGTCCATCCACATGGACAGTGAAGCATCAGTTTATTGAGTATATTTCATGCCCTGGGTTCTATGCAGGTGACCCCATGGTCACCTATAACAACCCTCCATTTCAAGAGAGGGAAACAGCCTGGCAGGGCCAGGTGTCTTGCCCACAATCTGACAGTGAGTAGGTGGCAGAGTCAGGATTCAACCTTGATGACGGGACCCCCAATTGATGCAGTAAGTTACCTCTAGCTCCAGCCCAACCATCTATGACCTCAAAGAAGCCTGCCCATTACTCTAGTCCCTAGGACCTCCCCTCTCCCTTGTCAACCTCTCCCCTGTACCCTCACCCTTAATGCCCCCCCCCCATATCTCTTTGGAATAAGAGGCCCACAGTTGGATCCTAGATCTGCTAGCTTGGCTCTCACTATTGCCTGTGGATCCATCTGGCCCTCCAACAGGAGAATCGGATTGATAATAGGTCACTCTGCTGTTCTATCTATTCCATCCCCCACTCTAATACAGTCATATCCAAGACTAACAGCATAAATAGGAGCCTCTTGCCTCTTCTGGTGGGGTTCAGAAGCTCAGCTGAACACAAAGCTATTTCCCTGAGCCTGCCTCCCAGGGGTGGGAGCTATAAATTATTCACTGCATTTTGTGCCTAGGGAGGCCAGACAATGGGCCAAGGAATGGACACCAGCTCCCCGTTCCCCATGGGAAGGTATCATCAGAGCCCAGAGCCCCTTGCCAGTATCCCCAAGCAGATTCCAGAAGCTATGAAACTATGGAAGATGGCCGAGGGCAATCTAACCTATATAGGAAGCCCGAGCTGAGCAAATTCAGGACTCTGCGGCTTCAACAATAGCCTGAGTTGTAATCTATTGCAAGTCTGAGAATTATCCCAGACTTCCTGGTCAAAATTCAAGCTTCCTTTTCTTCATAGGGAAGGAAATAGATATTTGGTCAGGCATTGAATATTGGTATCTCATTCAGTCCTCACAATGACCTGGTAAGGAGATGTTCTACTTTTACAGAGAAGCAGCTGGGGCTCAGGGCATGAAGAGATTTGCCCAGTGAGTGTGAGACACAGTAGTTCACCTGCCTGGTCTGACTTACCACTGTCTGCTCTCACCAGTTTAGGCTGCCATTTAGCCTACCTGGGTAACTTCCAGATCACTGGATAGATAGCTGGTGCTCAAATAACTCCTGAAACAAACTCAAAGGCCCTAGGTTAGTGGTTTTACCTCTTTGAGCCTCAGTTTCCACACAAGGTAGCCATTAATAACAAGCCCCTTCTTGGCAAACACAACAAACTCCTTATCGACAGTTTTCTGATGTGATTGCCTTATCACAGGTAACACACAGCCTGCTTGACCCCACTTTAGAGGTGAGGCACCAGAAGATGCCCCAACCCTGCTGCGCCTCACTCCAGATTCCAGGCTTTCTCCACCACCCCATGAAATGAGATCACAGGTGTGAAATTATTCCATCAAAGAAGAGCTTTGTTTAGATGCAGGGATTATTATGAGGACTTGAATCCTCAGACAGAGGAGGGAGTAGGGGGAATCCCAAGCCCCTTAGTCACCTTTTGGGTTCCCCTAGTCCCTCTAACCCCAGAGACGAGCTTCTAGTCTTCATTAACCTGTTCCACCTCCCAGGGGCTTTCCAAGGTGGTTTCTCCCTTGACTCCAGGGAGCTGGGTACAACAGGGGTTAAGTAGTCCCAGCCAAGGCTACGGGTCCAGACCAAGGCCATATGCCCTCTTCTTCCTCACCTAGAACAAGAGCCCAAGAGTCCATGCCAAGGGCTTCTGTCCTGTATCCACCTGGCCCCCAAGGACAGCAGGAGCCCCTGCCTGGGACTCAAGACACCTGGGACTATGCCCTGGCAGCTTCATCCTTAAGATCTTAAACAAGCCCTCTCTTCCTGGGTCAGAGGTGTCCTACGAGTTCCCCTGCCCAAAAGAGAATGAGGTCAGGTTTTCCATCTGGGCCAAAGGCTGTGGGGTTTCCGGCATGTCTCAGGCCCCTGCACCGCCACAGAGACTCTCACAGCAGCCTCAAACATGGTCACACTGACCTCAAATCAGGAGTGGAGAAAACCCCAGCCACGCCTCCAGAAGTTGCAAACTGAGGAGGGGAGTGGACACTTTGAGGGACGCTTGGGAAAGCTTTCTCAAGTGGAACTTCTGGGTCAACCACTCACTGACTTTATGATCTGGGGAATGATCCTAAGCACCTCCTCAGCAGTCCCCATTAGTAGGGTGAAGGACATGAGCTGGGTGAGTGCTGAGGGGCCACATCTCCTCCAGTTTCTGCAGGACTGACTTGGGGACCTCCACAGTGAGTTTGCCATCAGATAAGCAGAATCCCAGGAAATTCAGTGTGTCTTGGAGACCCCAGAATCTGGCAGGTAGGGGTAAGGAGCCGTTTCCCTACCCTAGGCCCCACAGAAAGCTTTGAAACTGGGAAGCCCCCCACCTTTGCCTTCAACTCTGGGAGGTGAGATGTCCAAGGAGTTGGAGGCCAGGAGAAGCCACCTTCTTAGCCTCAAGATCAGTGGCCCTGCACTGGGCCCCTCCACCTCCCACAGGCCGCTATTCACTTCCTTTCTTCTCCGACTTTGCTCTGCTTTTTTTTTTATTTTTTATTTTTTTTTAATTTAGGTGAACGCAATATCTTTATTTTATTTTTATGTGGTGCTGAGGATTGAACCCAGTGCCCCATGCATGCTAGGCAAGCACTCTACCACGGAGCCACATCCCAGCCCCTCTTTGCTCTTCTTTTTTTTACCCTCTCCTTCTTCCCCAGCTTAATGAGAGTAGGGAACCTCAGCTCTGTCTAGCCTCAGTTTCTCCATCTGTCAGCACCCATAACAATACATAGTACTTTCTATCTCACGAGGTAGCAGTGCGCCTTAAGTAAGAGACCATTTGTGCAAGGGCGGGGCGCGAACCTGCACACAATGGGAGCTAAATAAGTGCTCGTTTTCTCCCTTCTCGCTCCTTCTCCCAGCTAGTTCCAGCCTCTGCCAGTGCCCCCTCCACGCCCTCAGTCTCTAGCCCAGCCGCAAAGGGTCTGGACCGCTCCCGCCGCGCATCCGGGGCTCTCTCACCTGCAGCCTAGGCTCTCGCCGGCAGCCACGGCAGAGGGGGGTCTGTGTTCCTCTCGGGGCAAGCGCTTGGAGCGGAAGGAAGGCGGCAGCTTCGACTCGCAGAACGAGCCCAGTGGTTCAGTCCGACTGTCCTGCCGACCTGGGACCCCTCGCGGGGCGCTGCACCCTGGCCAGTCTTCCCGAGAGCTCGTACGGTTCCAAGTCTGAGGCAGCCGATCAGAAGCAGCTGAAGGTTTGGTTCTCCGGAGCCGGAGGGTGGGGACGTCCGGACTCCTTTGCACTGCAGTCGGAGGCTGGGGCCACCTTGCGCTAACCCCTGGGCGAAAGGCTGGGGGCTCCGACACACACTGAGAGAAAGACTGGGAATGACCCCGCAACGATGGACGCGAATGTGGAGCCTGAGCTGTCCCGTCCCGGCGCTCCGGTTCAGGGCCGAGACTTGGGCGTCCCGTGAGTCCGTTTCGGACCTTGGGGCTGGGAGAGTCCGGGCGCGGAACCCGGGGCTGGGTCGGGCAGGGCAGGGCAGGGCAGGCGCCGCTTGGGAGACGCGGCGGCCGGAGCCCCGCAGGGAAGTCTTCCGAGGTCCAGGCGCAGCTCGCTCTGCAAAACGGGGCGGACCTCAGCGCGACGGCGGACTCCTGAGCTCCTGGCAGCGGCTCCACTTCCTCCTCTTCTCCTGCTCGCTCGCCGCTCGCTTAGCCCCGCGCCGCAGCCGCTGCCGCTGCCACTGCCGCTGTCATCCTGGCCACCCACCCCCACCGGAGCTGCAGCCCGAGTCGTGCCGAGCCGAGCCGAGCCCAGCTGAGGCAGCACCGCCCAGCGCCCGAGTACCCGCGAGCGCGGCCCCGCCCTTATAGGGCGGAGCCAACCGAGGCCCCGCCTTTCACAAGCCCGGGCCGGGGCTGGGCGCGCGCCTGCTTTCCTCTTTGGGCCCCTGCACCGTCGTGAGCCGGAGCCAATCAGAGAAGGGGTAAAGGGCGGAGCTCTGCGGAACGTGGACTCTACCTCCGAGAAGGCGGGGCAGACAATGGAGAGGTGCGGCTGCAGAGAGGACAATGGATGGGTTGGGGGTTCTTAAAGAGCCAAGCTGGAAAGGGGGGTAACCTGGGGGCCCGGATGGAAGGAGAGGCGAGGTGGTCTGAATTGTCTGGGACCGGTGCATGAAGTCTGCAGTGGGAGGCCGGGGGTGTCATGGGGAAGGAACACCGGTGGGTAGGTAAAGCAGAGGAGAGGCAGGATGGCGGCCAGGTGGGATACCGGTGGCCAGGATGGCCACCAGGTCACCACGAACCTGGGGGTGAGGCGACCCTGCCCTCCTCTTGCCCATCCCTAGCTTTTAGGGCTCAGTGCGCACAGAAGAGTTAAGTGCTGTGGAATGTTCAGATTTGAAGAAGCGGTGAAAAATAAGTTTTTGAAAATGAAGAGCGGATCTCTCTTCCACACTTCCCCTTTCCCAGCGTTCATCGCCGGGAGGAACGTCGTTGTTAGTTTTAAAAATATGAAGTCAAAAGCAGAGGTGTGTGAGGACAACACTCCCCGAGTCGTGATGTGTCTGTCGTCTGCTCACGCACCTCCCCATTCCAGCGCCTTGGATGCAGGAGCTGTGTCTAATGCCTCTGAGTTCCCCCACGCCCTGCGCAGGGCCCGGCACAGAGCACGCGTTGGAGGGGTTTGCTGTATGAATGAATGTTGAATGTGCACGGGGGCGATGTGAAAGCCATTAATTGGCCCAGGAAGTGGAGGAATGGAGGTGGCACAGTACAGCTTCTTTTAAGTTTCACACCAAGTGAGAACCAGTAAGAACCCCATTTCACTGCTAAGGACTCAAGTACAGAGTCCAAGTGATGCTCCCCAGATCCCACAACTGGCACAGGATTCTAACCACCCGTCAGTACCACATTCCAGGGCAAAGCTGTGTGGTTTTGAAAGATTACTTTATCTTTCTGAACTTCTGGTTCTTTTAAAGAATTAAGATGCTGAGACTTGGCAGGGATACAAGTGAGAGAGCAGGCTTTAGAGGATGGAGAGAAGGGATTCCCACCAGGGGAAACAGCTTGTGCAAAGGTGTGGAGTCTGAAAGAACACCTCTGGGGACCCCTGGACTATTCTGGTTAGCAGAGGGTTCCCTGAGGGAGGGATGGGCAGGCTGAGGCCAGAAGGGATTAGTCAGGAACCCACATAGCTCTAGGCAGGTGAAGGAGAACTTTGTTAAAGAGCCCAGAAAAGTAAAGAATGGCTGGAGCTGCCAGTGAGAGGGCAGTAGAATCCATGGGGAGAGGAATGTGGAGAGGCAGAGGGGTACAGACAAGGGGGTTCAGACTTCCTTCTGAGAGCCACAAACTCCTGGGATTTTCCTTATGATCCTGAGCCCTGCAGGATGATGCTGAGGTTCAAGCCTTCAAGATCCATGTGTTGGGATTCCCTGTTTGTCAGAGGGGAGCCCTGGGAAAATCTTAAACCAGGCATTGATATGGGAAGGATGAGTTTGATAGGAAAGCAGATAGCATGGAAATACTTCTAACCTCCCAAGAAGCTTATGTTGTAGGGTCTGCCTGAAGAAGAGATGGTGTCTGCCAAGGCCTAGCCAGAGGCTGCCTAGTCCCCTCTGTAGAGTACACCAGCCAAGACCTTGGTTGGAAGAACAAGGAAGAGCGTGGGCTGGAGGCTGAAGTCCAGGCTAGAGGTGGAGTAAGGGGCCCTTTGTCAGGCCCAGGGACTGGGAGGTTGGCCCCAGGAAGCTCAGACTAATCACTGGGGCCTGAGGTCTGGTAGGAGGCAATTTTGCCTTATGTGTCAAAGTTGGTAATGGTGCTAAGAAACCTTCTTCCTTCAGCTCTTGCTTAGAACCTTCTCTAGCTTCAAGTTGCTGGTATGATCAAGCTTTGAATCCCTAGCCTGGCATTCCAGCCTCATCTCCTCACCTCTTCCACCCTCCACACACTCACTTCTCTCAGCTCCATCAATGAACATCTCCATGGATTTCCTCCAAGGTGGTTGCTCCTGCTGGTTCCCTAGTATGGGGCCCTGACTTTTTAATTTCTGCTTCCCTGCTGGGTTGAAGGGAAGAAACTGGAGGCCAGATGGTCACCTGTCCTCTTTGCTGTGGCATCCTCAGAGACTAGCATGGAGTCCAGTGCATAGCAGGTGCTTAGTAAATAATTATGGAATGTTCCATCTCTCACGTCAGAGTCACCTCCTCTGAGAAGCCTTCCTGAACTCCTCCAGGTAGTTTGCGTTTGTTCTGGCTCCCTTGGCTTGAAGGTTCTGTAATTATGTATGTTCATGTCTATTTCCTGCCACTGGGATAGGAGCACCTCAGTAGAAGTGTGACCCCATCCACCGGCCTCCCAGCCCAGTGTCTGACAGCCCTCAAGAGATGTCAGCATTGGGAAGTGAATGAATGAGATTCTCAGAGAAAAGCTGTCTGGATGCCCCTGTTGCCTCAGCCGTGCCAGATGAACAGAGTCAGAATGAAAAGGAGCTTTTCAGAGCGGACCCTCTATGACCCCTGAGGCCTGCCCAGGGGTTACCAAGAGGTGACCAGTATACGGGTCTCAAACGCCCACACTTTCCCTCTGGATAACCTTCAGAGAAGAGGGAGTCTTCGGAATTGGTGGAATCTGGCCTTTCTGTGGCCAGGGAGGCCCACCCAGCAGAACAGCTCCAGAATCAGGGTGGGCTTGTCTAGGAGGGCGCAGGCGCTCAGGATCCATGAGCCTGGAGGCTAATAGGAAACAGTAGCCTTTTCTGCCTGTGCCCCACTGCTCCCAAGAACCTCTGCCCTCTCCATGCCTCACACCAGAGGCAGCTCACAGCCGGGCTGCAGCCTGTGCGTCAAGCCCTCTGTGAAGAGCAGCCCTTCTCTCCTCACACAGCCCAGCTCTCTCTCTCAGGCCTGCCTTTACTAGTAATTTTGCATTATTTTTCTTAATAGGCCACTGAAGCAATTCAGAAAGGTCTTTCCACAAGATCTGTTTCCAGCCCAACCACGTGGTGCATGCATGAGGGGTAGGCCCAGCGCTAGGTGGTAATGTGCCCCCCTCCCCGTAGCTGTCTCTTTGACAGGATTATTAGGCTAGAGTAAGCTCATCAGCCCTCACAGGACGTGGTGCCCTCTCACTTCTCTGTCCTGGCTCTGCCAGTCTGGAGTCCTTCCCCACTTTCCCCTGCCTGCTTGTGCCTCGTGCAGCCAGTGGGACTTTCTTCATCCCTCCAGGCCCCACCCACAATCTGCTCCTCTGAGAAGCCCACCCTGTTCTCCTAGTGGGCAGCACGGTATCCTCCTGTGGAGCCTGTGACACTGAAGGGTCTTGTCCCTCTCTTGGAACTCCGATCCCCTTGCATCTGAGCCATTGCAGGTCGGTTTTCCCATTTGATGATGAGCTTTTAAAGGACAGGGATTTGATTTCTCTCTGCACGAGGGTTGTACATCTCAGGCCCTACTCGCTGTTTCCTGAGCTGGACCAAGTCTTATACCAGACATCAGGAACCCAGAGGTGGGACAGTCAGGAGCCCCCAGCTCCGCCCTGCTACCACCTAGCACTGTGCCTACCTGTGACACGTGTTCCATGAGGAGGGGTCCAAAGCTGATCTCATGAAGAGGCCATCCAGGGCTGTCTGTATGGGCATGGCTGTCTGCATGGACATTGGTGCCAGGTGCTTTGTGAACACAGCGGCTGCCAGTTCAGCTGGGGCAGGGCAGAGGAAGAGCAGCTTCACAGGGGAGGTGACACTTAATTTGGGATCTAAGGATAAACAGAACTTGCCAAGATGAGGGATGAGCCTTCTCGGCAGAAGAGACATCAATCACACAAAGACATGAACGAGGGCACTGTCGAGTGACTGGTAGAGGGAGGTGCATTTGGGGAACAGAAACAATACCAGAAGGAGAATTGAGGCTACACAATGGAGCAGTTTGGGCACATACGCTAGAGCCATGTGCCCTGGGTTCAAATCCTGACACTGGACCCTCTCATCTCTCGGTGCCTCAGTTTCCTCATCTGTATAGTGAGGATTATACAAGTACTTGCCTTATAAGAACTTTATAAGGCTTAAGTTCATTTTTGTTAAATGTTTGGGTCATGTTGATATGGGATAAGCTGTGTATGCCTCATCAGGGGCAGGCGAGGCTGTCTTGTGTGGGGCTTGGGTTTGGACTTCATTTTGAGGACACTGGAAGCAACAGAGAGGAGCTGAGGGGAGTAAGAGGCTTGGCTTGGGTCCAGCCTCACTTCTCCACCCACACACATTAAAGGGCCTCCCAAGGGTCCCCTGCCTTCCCTCCATCTCCCATGCCTTCTGGTGCTCCCAGGGGCCCTTTGG